CACTGAGTTCTTCCCCTGACAGCCCAAATCCAGGTGAAGTGTGATGACCCAAAACTTATTGAGGTAGGAGTCAAAATCCTGACAATGTTTTTGAACAGTTTTTGCTTCAGGGTGTCTTTTAAAAGAGAAGTAGAAAAGAGACATCTTAGGAGCAATGGAACATTACTCAAACCCTGTTTAAAGAGATCTGCATTCTCCTTAAAATAAACAGACTTTCCCATCACGTGAAGTCAGCTGCTAGGTGAACTACGTTTTAAAACATTTTTACATCATCTATGAGAGGCCATCTAAAATAATTTAATTAAATGTAATAAAATATGAAGGAGGGCCAAATAAGCAAAAGGATGACTTAAATGCTTGCTTATCAAAAGCATCAATTAACTATGAACTACTCCATGGAAGGGGCAAGTCTCACCCTTCCTAAGTTTAATGGGTGGTTAAGAGTAGCATAAGGCCAGCCAGCCCCCAAATATATCCCTCTCTGGCTGGAACACATTACTAACCCTTGGGTTTAGATGATAAAGCTCCTCAATTATTAAAATAGAACTTGTCTCTGAAATGTGTAATACTTCTGGTCATTCTAACATATGAACAGCCCAGTGAGATTGAATATATCAGACAAACCCATTAGTCATCCAACTGGGTGTCAAGGAATTGGGACCCCAGGTTAGAAAGGTCTGAAGAAAAGGGAAACTAGACTATGCGGAGGTGTAAGTATGGTATGCTATCATTAGGGCCAGCCGTGCTGGTCCCCAGAGTGGGTTGGGAGCAGGGTCTATGCTAGACAAGAAGGGTCTGTGCTAGCCCATGTCAGGGCCCACTTCCAGGGTGTGGAGAAGGAAGGATGGTGCTAAACCGAAGCCTGCAAACACATTAAGCATAAAATTTCCTTCCTTCACAATCTTGCCGGGGGGGGGGGGGGGGATCCTGCCGGAATGAATGATCAGTTTCCAAATAGTTGGAACATGTTTCATTGTAAAGCAATACTGATCATCCTTCAACCATAGGTGAGACAGGGTCTTAGATTGCCTCATTATGAGACCTCAGTTCATGTGAAAGGGTAAAGGAGCATAGGGAAACCTAGCTCATTAGCACTGATTGAATATTCAAAATGGTGTTCTGTAAGATAGCCCTGACATCAACTTGTTTACCTATTATCCATTTTCATAAGAGCAGAGATTAAACTAGAATAACCCCTTGTGTCTCTCTTCTCTTTAGATTACCATAATTTTTTTTTCATTCATCATGCACTTAATTAATTTTGATTCTAAGGTTATTGTCTGCCTTGCTGCTGGCTTGCTCCATCTCTTATTCAGGTTAGGTAACTTTTTGAACATTAATCTTAGCAATACCCCCAAGTTCTGTTCTTTCTTTTCATCCATGTCCCTCAACCATAGATACCCAAGTTAATTCCAAGACCAACTAACTCAGCACTTGTCACTAATGAATAAAGACAAGGGATTATACTCTCAAAATGGGATGGTACTAAGTGTTTTAACCTTCTGGAGTGTGTGTGTTACAACTTAATGTTTGCACGAGTCTCACTAGCCTCCCAATTTCCATGTTTTCTCAAGATAATCCAGTGACATGGTACTTGGAAGAACAGCATAAGTGCCTTTCCCCTGGAGCTGAGTCTTACCTTGTAGGGTAATGAAATCATCAAACTGATAAACATGATTACTATCATTAGCAATTAGAATCATTTCTTTGTAGAACATTTTGAAGTTGGGGTCATTTGTCTTCACCACCCCTATCACATATATTTCCACTTTGGTGTCCCTGGCATTCTTCACCACCTCTGTCAGATTCTTTTTATCTCGGGTATCTGTCTGCCCATCAGTGATGACCAAGGCCACTTTCTTTACACCTGGCCTTGCAGCTTTAAACATTTGGTTGGCTTCATCGAGAGCTGTGGCCGTATAGGTGCCTTCCCCAAGGTACTGCATGTTGTCCACAGCCAGCTTGAAGTCATTCTTGCTGGAGAACTCCATCAAAGGAGCCACCTTCTCCACCTTATGGCTGTAGTTGATGATGCCTATGTGGACTGTGGCAAGGTCCAGAGCCACCTGGTCAGTCAGAGTCTTCACAAAATTTTTGATGATCTCGAAGTTGTTGGGCCCCACACTTTCTGAGCTGTCAATCACAAACAACAGGTCTAGCGGAGTCTCTTTACATTTGGGCCCACAACCTAAAAGATGAATGTCGAGACAGAGACATTGTAGGAATGAAACTCTAAACATCACTTATTCATAGCAGGTTGGTGGGGGTGGGGAGGAATGGGCACAGGTGAACCTGAGACCTGGATTATTTCCTTTCCTGTGACTGTGGACACAGCTGACAACTGGTTTCCCATCTGGTTTCTATACCTGACTCTTTGAAAAGAATAATTTATTTTTTAAAAAACACATAAAACACTGTAGATGATAAAATAATAAGTACTATGTTCCAGTTTCTCAGATTAAAAACTAAAATGTTTTTAAGAGTCAGCATCCTCTGTGTCTGCCTTCCTGATTACATCCCCCCCTCCCTAAGAGATTACACTCTCCTAAATTTGTCATTCCACCATTTGTATTTAATCTGAATCTGAAAGCTAATATTTCAGTCTTCAACCTCATCCTTACATGAAAACAGAGATTAGCTCATTGGCATGGCCAATGGGTAAAGTAATGTGATGAAAAATTTTAATCATGGGGGAAGGATTAGGGCTTTTAATTGTACACAAGAATTGTCCACTTTGGGTGGAGGACACACAGTGCAATATACAGCTCTTATAACATAGAAGCCTACATGTTAAACCTATATGTTTATGTTGACCAATGTCACCCCAATCAATTTAATAAATATCCTATATAATAAAAGGCTAATATGCAAATCGACCGAAGGGCAGAATGACCAGTCACTATGCTGTGCACTGACCACCAGGGGGCAGATGCTCAATGCAGGAGCTACCCACTGGTGGTCAGTGCACTCCCACAGGGGGAGCGCCGCTCAGCCAGAAGCTGGGCTCATGGCTGGCAAGTGCAGCAACGGTGGCGGGAGGAGCGGGCCTAAGCCATGAGTCGGACATCCCCTGCGGGCTCCCGGACTGCGAGAGAGTGCAGACAGGGCTGAGGGACCCTCCCTCCCTCCAGTGCACGAATCTCATGCACCGGGCCTCTAGTTAAAAAAATAAACACATTGATGTGGTTAATAAAAAAAAAGAAGAGCTACTCTAGTTTATGTTCCTAGTTGCCCACCATGTCCACTAAAGTGGCTCCCATCTTATCGATGAGGCCATCCATCCATTCATACCATACTATGAAACCTTTTGAGGGTAATGAGAATGCTAGCAATAAACAACTTCTATTTAGGGTTTATCATTCAGGGCAGTTGCCAGAATCCCCAGGCATTAAGAATTATCAGGGATCCATTGGTTTATTCATCCTCCTATTGCCCAACAATCCTACCACAAAAAATCATGAGGAAAGTTGCAATTTTTACAGAGCTTCTAGAACTCAGAAATCATGTCTAAATTGGCCTGTCACCACAACATGTAGAGTCCCAGGTTGGTTCTTAAAGTCCAGAGGATTTTGGGGTGACAAGCCAGTTCTGGGGTCTCTGTATGGAAGAACAGTGATATTCCTGCACCTGTCCTGTTTAAACACAGAAGATTCATTTGTCTGTATTATTCCATTAATCTCTTGCCTTTGGGCTAACCGCTTTACTTCCTCTCTCTGGTAACTCTATTTTAAGTCTAATGTATTTGACCAAACATGTAGAGGTATTTAAAAATAGTTGTGAAGCAAGAGGACCTCCTGACTGTCTTCCTGCCTTTTGGGTGGAATGCACTCTAGAAATAGTGCTCAAATCTCAATTCAGAAAGACTTGCTTCAGGAAAAACACAGACATGATCATCACCAGCCAGGCTGGACTCAGATACCAGTTAGGCCCCTGTGGTCATATTTCCTTTGTTGCTTTCTTCTTCCCAAGCTCAGATAAATGTCTCTGAAGATAAATGACACTGGGCTTACAGAATGCCTGGCTGCCCACTGACTCCAGGCAGGTCTCACACTTCTTAATCACCAGAAAGATTACTTTCTTTTCTTAAATTAGGATTCCCACTGCCCCTCTCAATGATTCCTTTCAGTTTCCTACTGACTTTTCAAATGAGCTTCAAACATTCTCATGAGCTACACAATATACATCTTCTGGTGAACACATTATCTCTAGACCAACACAGAACACAGCGGGATTGGTACTTTAAAGGTTTGTGTTTTTTTTTACAGTCAAATCTTACCACATATTTCAACAATAAGTTTGATAACTTCTTCTTTCTGGAGGAAAAAAAAGAATATGTATTAATAGTATGACCATAATATTTTTCCTATAGTCATAAAAGATAAGTCTTTTTACAATCAGCCTTGGGTCATTTGATTTAATGCTTCCACTCCAGAAAATAAGTAGCACAGAGGTTAAAAGTTGGTTGTAATGTATCATAACTAAATGTGTTTGAGTTGTGTAATGTAATACCTCAGACTTTCGGAATTCAAATTGTGGCTCCAGCATTTATTAGCTGTATGACCTTGGGCATTAGGTAATTTAACAGTGTCTGTGTCTTAGGGCTGTGGATGGTTTTAACAGGATATACACACACACAGCTCTTCCCACAGCGCCTGGTCCCGAAAAGGACTCCCCACCCCCACCCATAGTTTTACCTTCCATGGTTTCAGTTACCTGCAGTCAACTGTAGTTTGAAAATATTAAATAGAAAATTCCAGAAATAAACAAGTCATAAGTTTTAAACTGTGCGCTGTTCTGAGTAGCAAGATGAAATCTCATGCTGTCCCATTCCATCCCGCCCGAGGTGTGATTCATCCCTGTTCCCTGAGTATCCACTTTGTATATGGTTCCCCCACACCCCTCCTCCCTGCCTCCCATCCCAAACATTAGTCACTCAGTAGCCATCTTGGTTGTCAAATTGACTGTCAACTCTTATTTTACTTACTATGGCCCCAAAGCACAAGAGTAGTGATACTGCAAATTTGGATATGCCAAGAGAAACCAGAAACTGCGTCCTTTAAGTGAAAAAGGTAAAAATTCTCCACTTAATCAGGGAAAAAAATCCTAAGTTGAGGTGACTAAGACCTACAATAAGAGTGAATCTTCTATCTGTAAAATAAGATATTTTGATAGAAAGAGATCACATTCACATAAATATTATTACAATAGATTGTTATAATTGTTATATTTTATTATTAATCTCTTACTATGTCTAATTTATAAATTAAGCCATATCATAGGTATGTATAGGGAAAAAACATAGTATATATAGGGTACTAGCTGTAGCTTCAGGCATCCACTGGGGCAGGCGGGGCGGGCGCGGGTTAGAACATATTCCCTGTGGATAAGGGGCACCACTGGTACTACCTACAGTGGTGTGAGCCATGCATGCAAACAGTTACATGATTTAACCCACAAGTACTGAGCAGCCAAGACAAACACCAGGGCCAAAAAACAGTATATTCTATGCTGTATCCCCTCCTCTTTTTCTGCACCACTCCCCAATTGTGCAAGTCCCCTCTCCTGTTTCCTAATACTCTCTTTGACGCTTTCACGAAATGCCCCAGTGTTCTGAATGCTGCTTCCCGGTCCTGCTGCCCAGCAGCTCCCTCAGAAGGGCCCAGCGGGAGCTGGGTACCAGAAGTAAATCTGCTGAGGCCCTGCCCTGAGTAGCATGCTTTCAGATAACCGGGATGAGACTAGAGAAGGCAGGATTGTACATTTGCCAAAGACAGGAGCTGACAGTGATGATTAACTCATAGATGAAAGAAACAGGAGCCCAGAAAATCTCAGCAGGGAGGAGCGATGGACCTAATCTAAGAAGATAAAATTTAACAGTTGCAAAGTAAAGTTTTAAAGAAAAAAATCTATAATGACAGAATTGGGGTGAAGGTGACATTGCTGGTGACATGACTTAACAGAAACATGTATGGGGAATATTCAGGGCATTTAAATTTAATATTTTTACACTATAATTTAAGTAGAAGCCAATGATTCCAAGTGGCTATTTTAAAAGAACTCCCAATACAATATTAATAAAATTATATAAAAATGAGAAAGTCAACAGTTATTTTTTTTCAGGCCTTGTCTTGCTTTTTTACATTTACTGAGGCATTTAAGAAATATGAAATTAGAATGGGTCTAGAAAGGGGAAATGTATATATTTATGTTTAATTTTTTTATAAATGAATACTATATACCAAGTTTTATAATTATAGTTTTTCATTTAATGTGATATCATAGTTAATTTCCATATTACTTGATTACTGATGTCAAATGCATGGCCATTTTAAGGCTCTTGATGCATTCTGCCAAATTGCCCTGCAGAAAAGTTGTAGTGATGACAACTCTAACAGAGTATAGAAGAAAACCTGTTTATTTTAGACACACAATACTGGTTATTATTATTGCATAATCTTTGGCATTTGATAGAGCAAACTATCTCATTGTTTTATTTATTTTTTAATATATTTTTTATTGTTAGTATTACAGATATCTCCCATTTTCCCCCTTTTATCTGCCTCCTATCCCCCTCCTCCCAGCCCCTTCATACCCCCCACCCTTTGGGTCTTCACTACCCTATTGCACTTGTCTATGGGCTGTGCATATAACTATATATATTCTTTGGTTTATCTGTTCTTCATTGTTTTAAATTATACTTATCCAATTATTAGGCTAAATTTTATTTATACACATGTTTCCAAGTTGTGTTCTCTGTGCACAGTCTTTATATATTCTTTGTCCATTTTTTTGTTAGAATATTTTTCTTTTATTTACTTGTAAGAATAATTTTTATATCAAAATTGCATTTTAATTATTTTCAGTGGGCTTTTATTGGATAACCAGATCTGAAATGCTTTAAGTAATCATATGTGTATATCAATTTTTTCTCATTTCTTTGCTTTTACGTGACTGGAATAGTTTCATCCCTTCCACTAAAATTGCTAATAACTACTTTGATTATTGGTTGCCAATGATGAAGGCATCAAATTTATACCCCTCAAAAGATTCACAGTCAAGTAAGAAGCAGACAAACAAATACTTTTGTAAGTACTATGCTGTTAGATTGATCAAGGAACCATGTTGGTCTGCAGGGAATTCCAGGGGTGGGAGAGTGGGGGTGAAGCTGTGGTCCAGGGAGAAAGACTCTGACCAGATTAGGATGTGAGATGGGGGGAAGAGGAGTGTTCCAGGCAGGGGACAAAGCACACAAAGCACAGTGCATTACAGTCCTTGAGTAAACTTATGACCCAGGGTATGTGGCAGAAAGAATAATAGGAGATATGGAACACAGATGAACTCTAAAAGGTCTTTGTGTCATGTTGCAGAGTGGACTATATCCTGGCCAATGAGAAGATATATGGCCTTAAGCAGAGAAGTGATCTGATCACAATTTTATTTTAAAAGGAGATCATTTTTTAAATATATATATTTTTTATTGATTTCAGAGAGGAAGGGAGAGGGAGAGATAGAACCATCAATGATGAGAGAGAATCATTGATTGTCTGTTTCCTGCACACCCTCACTGGGGATGGAGCCCACAACCTGGGCATGTGCCCTTGACTAGAATCAAACCTGGGCCCTTCAGTCTGCAAGCCAGTGCTCTATCCACTGAGCCAAACCAGCTCGGGCAAGGAACAAGCAGAGAAACAGTCTTGTTGAAGCAATTTGGCATAAAGATGAAAACATTGAACTCCATCAATGGTATCAGCCCCTTAAAAGAAGAGTTTGTTAGTCTCTAATGACTAGGCAACTGATACCTGTTTGGGAATATATTTGATCAGGAGAGAATAGGGGCAGGTAGAGGAAAGGGGCCTGCCAAGAACAGCTATCATGGGGGAGCAGACTGCATTTGGCATCAGACAGGCCTATCTGGCTATAAGGGCTCTGCTGCTTGCTAGCAAGATGACTTCGGGCATACTGCTCAAGCTTTCTGTCTGACTTAGCATGTCTTCATGTAAAGGGAGATAATACTACTACCTTCCTCATGGAGCTGACATGTGGAAATGTGGAGTCTTGGGCAAGAGAGGATTGTGGTCCATAGTATGACCCCTTCTTATTGCACCCCATCTTCACTAGTCCTAAGCTGCAAGGGGCATGGCTAGCATTCATAGGGTGAACACAGTCCTCACTTCCAAGCTCTGTTCAAATCCCCTCTTGGGTGGGCCCATGCATACAGGCCAGTGCCGTCAGCTCTCCAACGGGGCCATGTGGGCAAGCAATTCTGGGATCCTGTGTATCCAGAGTGTAGTACAGAGGAGGCAAGTGCTCAGTGTGGTTGCGCCCATTGGCCATGAGGACTCCTCCCCTGGGGGAAAGATTGTAGCTAGAGAAGGGCTGGAGGTCCAGAGGTGGGCCTCTAAAGCATGGGCCCCAGGCACCCTACAGTCCTGGGTAAGGATGCTACTGATATGAAGGAGCCTAACATGGTCCAGGTCACATTCCAGATTTTTATTGAACACAAATCCTCTCTTTTTTCACTCATCCCTTCCTGCTAGTCCCTTTTTCTAGAATCCAGAAAGTCAAAGTCAGAAGAATCATATCTCCATTTATAAGATCTCTGCCTCTTATTTAAAAACCTTCTGTTTAAGAGATAAAAACCCATCTTGCATGCAAACATCATCATAGATCATTTTGTCTGCTCTGGACCCACATATCTACTTCTATCACAGCATTTACCAAACTTTAGATGAACATTCTTTGTCTGTCTTTCTCTCTACCGGGCTGTGAGCTCCTTGAGTCCAGAGATATAGTCTCTTATTCTCTGCTATTCTCCCCGTGTCTCTCTCAGAGCCTGACCTGGAGTACACACCCAAGACATGTTGGTGAAGTGAATGAACAAATGAATGAATGAAGGAAACCAGTTCCCCTCCCCATGTTGGAACAGGAGGGAGGTATAAACCTATGGGGACCATTCCTCTGGGCATTTTCCATACACTCTCCCCTGCTACTTTTGGGGAGGAATTGCTGCATATGCAGCTGTTTCACCCACCATAGACATCTTGGGCACGAGCGGGGGCTGACTTGTGGTGGGGAAGAACAACGAGATAAAGGCAGATGGGCCATAAAAAAAACAAGTGCAGTTCTGTTGGTCACATAACCAGCTCTCATCTCTCACCTTTACTACCAGAGCTCCCACCCCCGTCACACCTGGTTTTTCCCAGCACAGTACCTAGGATCAGCATCCCCAGACCATGATCCACCAAAAAAAAAAAAAATCAAAAAGGGAAAAAAGAGAAAGTCCCTATTTTTTCTCTACTCCAGAAGATATGGGGCTTTCAATTCAGAAAGGAAGAATTAGAATTTGCTGTAAAAAATTCTGGAATGTTTCCACCCTGTGGGACTTTAAAGACTTGCTTTTCTGTTTCAGTGGTGTAGGGAGACGAGTAGGGAACAGTTTGTAGATACTTCACAAATATTTGAATTCATGAATCAGTACATAAAAATACTGTGATTGCCCTTCTTCTCAGAGCACTTCCTAAAGAAATTGGCGGAGGAAAAAAGAGCCCCCGTTCTGAAATGTGAAGGATCGTGTATAATGAAAAGTCATTTGGTCATTTGGCTTCTTGTAAACAGCTGTCTTCCTTGTTAACATTCATCTACCAGGGATCAGGGGGGAGCAGTCACAGGTCTCCATCACGAGGCCAGGTGAGGGTTGCTGGGTGATATTTCTCCTTCACATTCAGATTCAGTTACCTCGTGCATCTATGTCAACACTGGGGTTGTTAGCAGTGCTGTCATTTAAACAGCAATGGGAACTCTGCATCAAAAGAACTCATCGTTCTAAAGCTAAAACCTGAATGTAATAATTTTGCAAGCACAAACCCTCAATTAGCCTCTAGGATTGGTACTCACTGTAAGGCCTTGCTCTCCTTTTGGTCCTTGTAACCCCTGCTTAGTAGAAAAAGAATAAGAGTCAACATAGGAACTATGTAGTTAACCTATATAATTACAGTAAGACTTTAAAAATCACTTCTTGCCTGTGTTCCTGGTGATCCGGGCTCTCCAATTTCCCCTTTATTGCCTTTTTTCCCCACATCGCCCCGTTCTCCGTGCTCTCCCTTTAAAATATAGTGAAAAGAGAAGTTTAGAATGTGAATATTAAAGCCAAATAATAAAAACTCTGAAATTCTGTTTATTTATAACTACAGATGCCTGATAGGAGAAAAATGGGGGCATTTTATTTACACCACCCCCACCCCCCAGATACCATAATCTAATTCATCATGAACCAGAGCTCTCAAAGTGAGGAGACCTTGAGATACCATTGGCTCAGCTCACTGGCCTCTGGAGACCAGCTATTATATAATTTTACACCTGAGTTATCTAGTATCTTCTACATGCTATGCTGTAAGGGTTTATTCTTTTATCAGCTGGCTTTTAAGAAATGAAGGAAATGAGATTTTATAAAGTAAACATGTTCGTAAGTTAGGAAAGGAAATACATAAGGATTTACTTTCAAATGAATTTTTCCCTCTGAGAATTTGTAAGGAGAAGAGTAATAAGTATATGAGAGCTCTTCAAGTTCAAGTTAAGCAGTTGAGATTTTTTAAGGTCTGAAATGCCTACCTTCTGGCCTGGGAAGCCACGGCCTGCCATGCCCTTTGGTCCTGGAAAGCCTTGAGGTCCTTGCTCCCCCTGCACACAATATGAGAAAGGGATGTTCCTGTTCATTTCCCCTGATAATTTTAACAACATGGATCTATTTATCTAAATTTAGTGCTCCTTAATTTGAAAAATTACAATGTCTTCATTTCAGGAGTTGTTTTTAAATTTTCCCAGCATATTTTAACATTATCTCCTGCTCCCCTACCTGCCCCTCCACTTAAATCACCCAGGTTTAAAGCGTTTTCATGATATTGATCATGACACAGTAATAATCACTAATGAGAAGAGTCATCATACTGATGCTGCTTGGATCCTATATGCAACCTGTACTTCTCTCTAGACCAGCGGTTCTCAACCTGTGAGTTGCGACCCCTTTGGCAGTCAAACGACCCTTTCACAGGGGTTGCCTAAGATCATCCTGCATATCAGATATTTACATGACGATTCATAACAGTAGCAACATTACAGTTATGAAGTAGCAACGAAAATAATTTTATGGTTGGGTCACAACCTGAGGAACTGTATTTAAAGGGCCAGAAGGTTGAGAACCACTGCTCTAGACCATTATTAGCCATGAGTCTGTGGCAAAGGTCTGAAGGACCATGGGCTCCTGGGATCTGATTTGCTTGCTTACCTTCAGCATCTTTCTCAAAGGTATTACACTAGGATCACTGGCATGCTTAATAAAAAGACCAACTAAATGAGAATCAAGGGGGGGTAGTGGTCAAATATGCATTTTGTTATAGGCTTGCAGAGGCTTGAGAGCCACAACTCCAGGAGGCAGGATGGGCTCTAGAAGCCACTCCTGAAAAGGGCCACAGAGGCTTGCTTGGAGGCTGCTGTAACTCTTTTTAAATTGAATTTATTGGGGTGACATTGGTTAATAAAATTATATAGGTTTCAGGGGCACAATTCTATAATACATCATCTGCATATTGTATTGTGTGTTCACCATCCTAAGTCAAGTCTCCTTCCACCACCATTTATTCCTGCTTTACTCTATTTTACCTCCCCCAACCCCCTTTCACTCTGGTAATGACCATACTGTTGGAGACCAGTGTGACTTTAAGTATCAGTATTCCTGAGCCTCCTTTTCTAGTTCATGCAGGAGCTTTCAAGCTTTTAAAGTCAATAAAATCCTTTTTTTAAAATGTTATAATGAAATATTGTAGACACACACAATTCACAGGGAAAAAGATAAACATTCATCTACACACCATTATATTAAAAAATGAAATAGTACAGATACTCTTGAAACCCCCATGAAACCAGTCCCATTTCCCAAAGGAGAGAGGAAACCTGTCTGTGAAACTGATATGCATCACTCTACATACAGACAAGTTGGCCAGCCGACAGAGTGGTATGAAGGACAGTGGAAGGATACCTTCCTGAGTCTCCCATTCTCTCTTCTAATTAAAGAAAAAAATTTTTTTAAGTATAAGAAAGCTATCCCCATAACAAAGATGTATCAGTAAATGATACTTTGGCATAAATTAGGTTTCTCAGGTTCTCTCTCTCTCTCTCTGTGTATGTGTGTGTAGGTGACTGAGGACTTCTTCATTTAACCATGTACCTGGTTACAAGGTAGTTTGGGGTTGTCAAGTAGATGCATGAGGCCACTGGTCGAGGGGTCAAGAGGGTTCCTAGCCAAGTGTAAGGGAGACTAGAGGTTCATGGGAGAACACTAAAAGACACCGATGCTTGGCTTTGTCCCCACCCCAAAGGCCAGAATAGTGTGACAGTCACAGGAGCTGGGATTGTTGTGTGACGGTGAATTTTCACTGGGAATTATATATTTAGCCAAAGTAGGTCCAGAAAGGAATCAATACTCTCTGGCAATTATTCAGCGTAATTATTTCTTTTACAATCTTTCAGATTCCTACAGTAGCTGATATGGAAAATGTTCAATAAATGTTTATGACTGACTAGCTGCTTTCAAGAAATGACACAACTTCCTAAAAAGTTAAAAGCTGCTGTGGCTTCATTGAGGTGCCTCGAGGGGAAAACCTCCCAGTAGCCAATTATCATGTTAGGATCAGCATCATGTTCAGGAATTTATTTTGCATTACTTCATAGTATAGACATTTTATATATAACTAGAGGCCCGGTGCATGAAAATCCATGCACTCGGAGGGTGTCCCTCAGGCTGGCCTGTGCCCTCTCGCAGTCCAGGACCCCTCAGGGGATGTCCACCTGCCAGCTTAGGCCCGCTCCCCAGGGCATCAGGCCTAAGCTGGCAGTCAGACATCCCTCTGGCAGCCCAGGAACCCTTGGGGGATGTCCAACAAGCTGCAGTAGGACAGACATCAGCCAGGCTTGTGGCTGAGCGGAGCTCCCCCTGTGGGAGCGCACTGACCACCAGGGGGCAGCTCCTGCATTGAGCGTCTGCCCCCTGGTGGTCAGTGCACATCATAGTGACCAGTCATTCCTGGTCATTCCATAGTTAGGGTCAATTTGCATATTACCCTTTTATTATATAGAATTGTGAACACTGCAACTATTCCAGGCAGCTGGGTTTTCCTATAATAGAGGCCTTTCTCTGCTGTTTAATCACCAGTTCACCTTCAAAATACTTTCAGGCTTTATATAATTTTCAGAGCAGACTCTCTAGCTAAAAGCCTTTAGCAAGTAAGTCCATGCCTCAGCTCTGCAGAGGTGAATGCTATCCAATCAGATTTTTTTTCCTTACAAGGGTCAGGAAAATGACATACAATGATTTCTGCATGAGTCAGAAGCAACTGCAGGAAAGAACCTGTCTATCTGAAGGTATAATTACATCTAAATGTCAGCCAGCTTCTTACTCTTGGATCTTTCCTGTTTAAAGACACGATCTTTTTAATTTTTCATATGATCACCTGTTCTCTGGGAGAGAACTTTCCAAGGAGAATGCCCAACTACCTGACTATTTTAATAGGTTTTTTTTCATTACTGATATGTCAGGAAATAATAGTTTTTCTTTCCAAATGTTTTCTCAGTAAGGTAAAATTCACAGATGATCAAAAAATATAAAATAGATGTCTGTCTTCTAGTTAGGAGGTAGAAAACCGGAAATAGGCCACTTTCATTCTTAAAATAACAGAAAATGCTAACGAATCTATGAAATCACAACTTTCCACGAATCTGTCATAGAGCTGTGTTTGCAAGGCAACCAACTAACTCTAAGTCTAAGGACACAGGCTCCTCCAGGGAGAGGTAGGACACTGCCACTCATTTCCTGCCGGAAACACCAGCTGTCACACACCCTGCTAAGACGAATGCAACTAACATTTTTAACAAATCGCTAAAGGCTGAATGTAGCTAGTGTAAGAGGGGAGAACCCCTAGGAGCTTCAGGCACAAGGGAAATTCATATCCCCTCGCAGGCTTTTCTCTGGGGACCTCGCCAATGCTCAAGAGAAAGACTGAGGCAGGGCAGGTCCTGAAGCTCCCAGTGGTGCAGATGGAGCAGAGGGCAGCAGCTGTCCTCCAGGGAAAAGCACAAAGCTCTCTTATGGGACAAAAATCTTAAGCTGTGCCCTGTCATTTTCAGGGCACAGATGACAACCCGTGGCAGCTGGGAGAAGAAAATAGAATAAAACCTGCAGATATGCATCCTGGGCCAAGTCCTTTAGAGATGTCTTATTCCTTGGGGAGGGTCGGGAAACCATCCTCAGCCCAGACCATTAGAGGTCCCCTAAGCATTTGCTGGAACTCATGGAACTGTATGTACTTAAAAGGGCGCATTTTCTGTATTTAATCCTTTGCTAAAAAATGAATTTTTTTCAATTAAAAAGAATTAACAGAACAATTGGCAAACTGAATAAGGTCTATAGATTAACTAGCGATAGATCAACACAGTCCATGCACCACTAAGCGATGTTTCAGTCAACGACGGACCGCACATTCGGTGGTGGTCCCATAAGATTCTAATGGAGCTGAATTTCCTGTAAGAAATGGAAGGATGTGTTGTTCAGGAGGACTTTTTTCTCTCTTGGGAGCAATATCTGTGGGGTTTGGGAATAGATTCCCTCTCACTCACTGCACCTTAGTTTTGGGTGCACAGATTACATCCCAAACAGTCAGCTACTGACCCATTTCAGTGTGAGGAGCCTGTCCTCCCAGCGCTATATATTCAGAGGGTGCTACAGCCCTCCAGGTCTAGTGTGATGAGACCATGTAAAATCTTGTTGATCCTGTACAAGAACACAGATCCACAAGAGCTACCTTAATGAGAATTAAGTGCCACTGACACTGTGGTAAAAGCTTTCTGTGGTCATGTAGAGCCCGTCCCTGTATTTTGGAAATATTTTTGGGTTGTAAGGATGTAAAGCATTCATAAGTGTTATTTCTTCCATCCATTCCATGCCAGAGAGAGCTCTTTGTCCCAGATGGGGTCAATGGAACCAAAAAAAAATTTCCTATCTCAAATATTGAGTCCTCAGTTCTACCCCCTCTCCGTGTTAAGTACCCTCTTTATTATGATTACCACAAAGTTCCTTAATCTGACCACGGCTCCAACATCAATAACCAGACCACATGGCCATGACAAGCCCCTATGATCCTTCATGTCTCCGTCTTGATTTCTTATTCCTACTGATCCGCAGGCCACATTTCACTCCCTGCTGACAGTCACTGTTAGGGTGATCTACACCAAATACACCCAGTTTCTCCTCACTATTTCCAATCATCCCAGCCCATACCCCTGTTCATGGAGTAGCATTGACAGCTTTGCTGTTCTATTTCTGACCCTCTTGGAAGGAAGCAGGAAGAGGGCTTGTGGGGCAGAGCTTATAAAGTCTACAGTTGTGGACAGTAATGTCCTAGACCAGTGATGGCGAACCTTTTGAGCTCGGCGTGTCAGCATTTTGAAAAACCCTAACTTAACTCTGGTGCCATGTCACATATAGAATTTTTTTGATATTTGCAACCATAGTAAAACAAAGACTTATATTTTTGATATTTATTTTATATATTTAAATGCCATTTAACAAAGAAAAATCAACCAAAAAAAATGAGTTCGCGTGTCACCTCTGACACGCGTGTCATAGGTTC